TATGCATATGATTTTCAATATGACCTATAAGATATGCTGAGAACCTCTAAAGTTTGCCGAGTAAAATGGAAAGCTAGTTTAGTTTATAAATAGCATTAGAGCATCCATTTAAGTTTCTACGCACATCTAATCGATCGATTCCCGTCTCAAAGATACATTATGTCTATGTTGCATTTAAATGCTAAAATAGAGATGAGAATCCCTGTAACTTCACTAGCGAGGCATTGTACCACATCATTAACAGCTGTTCTCTGGTTAATTATTATGCCACGAAATTGCTGAATATCGTATATTGTTTCTTAACTACACAATACGAAAATGATTGAAAACGAAATTAATTAGAAGAAATGCACTGTTTTTTTTTTTTTTTTTTTTTTTTTTTTTTTTTATCATGTATTAAAATGGGTTTTTTAAACGCTTATTAACATTTATTAAATACGTAATATTTAGTGATATCATCGATTGAAATACAATAGTTTCAATTAAGTTATAAGCTTAAAAATAACGGTATAAATTTATTTCATAAATAATGCAATTTCAGTGGCAATATCTTTTTAGATTCATAATTATAAAGATCCAATATTTGATACAAAAATTTCACTTTTCATAATTAACTTTGTTAACAACAATATTGTTACCAAACAAAAACATTAACAATGATGATAAGATAATGTTGGAAACGATATTATTATAATAAGCTGAATAAATCTCAATGTAAAAAACATATATTTATATAAGCAGAATAACATTTTATAAAGCGCTAATTTAAAAGCATCATAAATATTGATGCTCGTATGTATCGTATATAAATTAAATAAAATAGTCAATATAAATGCAGAAAAAAAAAAAAAATAAAAAAAACTAGGAAATACATGTTACCATGGTAACTTAATATAATAACCTTTAATTTTAATTATTTATATAATAGAGTTGTAAATTTCAATTTAAGAAAATATGGAGTGTAATTTATAGAAATTATTTATTAATGATAACTTATATTGTTTAAATTGTAAAGAATTGATAAATAAATTGAAATATATAATACACGTCATCAATAACAAGAATTAGCTTGTTTTTTTTTTTAAATTAAGAAAAATTGTGTTCTTGATTATTTTGAGTATTTTACAATTTCTTTTTGTGTTTATATATATATATATAATAAAAATGAATTTAACAAATAATTATATAGAACATATGCAATATTCAGTAGGTATAACTTTACATTAAGAACTTGAAACGAGATAATAATATTGTTTTTCTTTATAAATTAGGAAGTTAATTACTATTTTATTTGTGTATATAATGTGTATATTGTATGAATACATTAAAAAATTGATATTAAATCTGTAAAAGAAAATTATTTTATAACTAATAAAAATTTTTATGAAAATTGTATAACATATATCAATTAGTTTATACAGTCTTTCAAAAATTTATATATCTTTCAATACATTTCTAGAGCTTATGAAAATGATGTTCACTTAGATAAATCATGAAAATATCATGATATCTCTTTTAAGCCATGTTTATTTGTTTGAAAAGTGGATAGATCTCAAATACTGGTACAGTAGTATTCATATTTTTTGCTTTCTTCCATTCCTTTCTCCTATTCCTATTTCTTTCTTTGCACTGTTTTCTCTATAACTTCCTCACGCAATTTCCAGCTTTATTTTATGTGATATTCAAGAGCACTAACCTTATTTTTCAAGAGGTCACGAATATAGCGAGTACGTCTGAGAAGTGCATAATTTTTTTCAAACTTCAACTCTCAAGCTTGGTAGTGATGACTACTTAAAATGTGAAATCACGCGTGTAACGTATCTTACATCATAATTATCTCGCTTTTCTCTATTTTCCATCTCTCTCTCTCTCTCTCTCTCTCTCTCTCACTCTCACTCTCACACACTCTCTCTTTAATGTGTCTTTATGTCATTGCATTTGTTTAAATACTCGGAACAAGCGACATATCATATTTTATAGATTAAAATTGAACGACTGTTTTTCTTTTTTAATAATTTTACATGCATGCTAAAATTATTAAGTATATTGACAATTTTTACGTCATTGAATCAAAAGTTTTATAAATTGCAAATATTTAAATTTATTTTTACTATTCATACATATATCTATATATAGATCATATAGAGCAAAGATACAATTTACAATGAACAATAATAATGTACAATATAATTTTTAACAAAAAAATTGACAGCACTTATTTTACTCCACTTGGCTTAACGCTTAATTTGTGAATAGAATAATTTGTAACTGACATAGTTAATTATTTTTTCATATGATAAAAATGTTTACAGATTATGCAACTATTATAGAAAATGAAAAATCTTGACGCTTTTAGATTACGACGCTTTTTTCATGTAAGCATATTTAAATAAATAAAATGTTTTGTATTTCAAATGAATGTAATTTGTATGTTATCTTATCAATGAATATAATTTAAAATACACATTACTATCTATTGTCACGTATTAGCATATATCTATATGGGTTTTTATATGGGCTATCGATGATTTATGTGAGAGTAGGACATTATATGCTAGCCATGGTTAGACATAGAAAGTAGGATACGAGGATAAACAGTAGGTGATTCAATATCCGTGTCGTATTTTCTGGGAATTTTCTGTAAAGAATGATATACGTCAAGTGTGGACTTGATAATACGATGATAATCTAATGTCAATTCTAATAATATCTCATTTCTAGATTTATTCGATAAATTAATATAAATGTATTGTAGATTCGGAAATGAAGAGGATGAGGAGACATACGATATAGATTGAATGTAGAGATTAGAAATGTATATACTAACATAGCTCATTACATGTATTTACATATATAGTGTTTAGTGAATTTGCTACATGATAATGTAAAATGTAAATATTGTAAAACACAACTACGCCAAACACTTATACGCGTTGTCATCAAATAATTCACAATAAAATAAATTAAAATCATGGCTTTTAATTGGACTACAATTGTTTCGAATATTGTATTTATAGACAATTAAATGAAATCGTGAATTTTTAAACTATAATTGCAATATATTTCTTTGAAGCTTTATTATACATTCAAATATTAGAAAATACAAATTTTCTTATTGGTAATTTAATCATACAAATTGTATGATAACATATTAACAATTTAAAAATACATGTTAACATTAAAGAAATAAAAGTAAATTTGATATATTGTTATTATATTATTGTTTTAAATATTATTATTATAAATTATTGATTTTATTGTTATTATTGATATTATTGTTATAAATCTTCATTGAATGATAGAAAAATATAAAGTGTTCATTATTTAAAGATTCAAAAAAAAAAAAAAAGAAAAAAAAACTTTATTTATTAAACATCGACTGTGCTATAAATAATCATGATACACGTATATTTTATGTCTGTACATATATGTACATATATAGCCCTTTTCAGAACCAATAAATGTTAATAATCTTTGTAGTTCGTTTTATCGAGGTTCTTAAAATTCATGTTTTGTCCTTCTACGTAAAAATTTCACTCTAAACAACATAACACACCACTGTATAGTTCGCTAGAAATATTGAACGAGCATTAAAACTATCTAGTAAATGTGTCAAAAGTATTATCTCGAAGAACTGAAAAATAATTTAACCTTGCAAAGTTTCTACCGCATAATACGTTTTGCTTATATAAATTATTTTTCTTCTTGCTTCTTTTATAAAATAGCTTTAAACACGAAAGTTATCGGAAATAATTCTAGTTGCAGTTATCGTCATAAAACGTTTGCAAGATCGTGAAGAAAGAAAAGAAATATTGAAATTACTATGCGTTTTGAAAATACATTAAAATACAGAACAAATCGATAATTCATTAGGTACAATCTCACCTTGACCTCTAATGATAGATGAATTATTTCGTGATAAGTGTCGAAGGTAGAACTTCATATATTTAAAACCAAAGTGCAATGAGGTACAAACTGTGATTAAGCAAATCACGTAATTTAATATTAAATTTTTTAAATTATTTTACTTATTCACTTACTCGTTAACTATTATATTTTATTTACATATTTTAAATAATAATATTGAATTTTTTAACGATTATCGTAGAAAAATTGACAATAATATACATTGCAAACATTTTAAATTAATTAGTATTTAATTAATTGTTAATATTATTGAGAGAATTTTTTTATAAAAAATAAATAAAATACAAGTTATTTATTTATTTATTTTTTTTTTTTACCTATATATATATTTTTAATATATACATATACATATATATATATATATATATATACATAATTATACTATTATATAATTATAATAAATTTAAAAATCCAGTTAAAAAATTTGATGTATTCGCAAAGTTTATCGTCAAATTATGAGTAATTTTTAACGGTACCAGTAATTTATAATAATTATTCTATATATGTTAAATATTATACTATTAACATATTAATGTTATACGATATATAAAATATAATATAAGCATAGATAATCTTAGATTCAAATGTGTTTGTTTAATAGCTAATTTAAGGAACAATTTAATATGCTTCAATTTTCCAAATAATAAATTGCAAGGTAACATTAGATCATTGAACAACACATTTTTTTTTTGTTTTAAATTAATAGACTATGATAAATCAATTTATTCTGAAAAATAACTTTATCGATTGAATTTATAATATTCAAGAAATTTCTGAGAAGAAGAAAGATTATGATAAAAGAAATATTTTATTTAAATTGATAATTCAAGAATTAAAAAATCTATTCCAAACGTTGTAATATATTTTTTATTCTCCCATCCAGAAACTTTGTAAATTTAATAAAAATTTGTAAAAACATATTTTACTTGACATATGAATTATACTCATTTATTTTTCGTATGTACTGAAATCACAATCATTTAATAAAATTCTATTTTATTAAGAATCATGTAATATAAATTTTATTTTATTTTATGAATACATAATTTTATATTTATTATTTACTATTGCAGGAAAATAGTAAATTTAACGATAATTGAAGAGGACTCTTATGAAAAAGACGCATTGTTTTATGTGGAACTTGGTGAACCACAACTTCAAGGAGGTGAGAAGTTACTTTTCAGTCCTATTAATATATAAGAATCATTTTATGCATAAAGAATTACAGTGGAATGGAAAATGATATATATCTATATATAATAATAATGCAGTTTTAAAAATAATATGAAATTGCATATTAAATTAATTATAAATAATATTAAATAATATTAAATTACGTAAATATACAAAGGCATATGACTTTGTAAATATGAAATTATTCCATTTTATTAAATATCAATAATTGTAATATCACAAATATTAATTTTTTTTTTTTTAAATAAGACAATAAAAAATTTAATTGTATGTTTCAATAAATAATTGATTCTTATACTGAAATTAATATATTAAATAAAGTATGAAATTTTAATAAAAATATATCATTTTGCCTACATCTTTCAATAAACATTGGAATTGTGTTAAAATTACATTATTGTAAATAGTTATATTTAATCTCAGCAAAAAGATTGTAATAATTAATATATAATTTTGTATAGGCGACAAACTATTATTATTTAACAAATATACGTTGTATATTTCAATTCTATAATGACTAGGTATTTATACTGTTTTAAAATAAAAATTTATTACAAAGAAAGTATAAACAATTAATTTCTTGTAACTCCGACATATAAGTTTTAATATAATAATTTTTGGCAAATTAATTCAATTATTAATGTAAAATTATTGGTATTTCCAATATGTATTGTTGTAACATACTAGAATATTGATATTATAATCAAATCTGTTAAATAAGCATTGAAAAAACTAATTTTATTAACTGATTTTAGAATATTGAATATAAAATAAACCGAATGATTATTCACTATTGAATTATTAAATTAATTAATATTTATAAATCAATTATAATATCTAGCACATTTTTCTTTATATAACGTTACTTTATATAATTCCGATGAAATCTATTCTATGCCAATATAATAATAATTATTAAGATTATAATCATGTAATTCAAAATGTAATCATATTTTTGAGATCATATTGTGCAATATTCGTTCAATTAGACTTTATATGAGGAAAATAATAATAATAATAATTAAAGATATATTAATGATATATTAAAATCTTAAAATTTTCAATAATATAATCGTCCTGAAAGCATATTATCATCTAAGATCATCATTTATTTATTTATGAATTGTAACTTTCATAAGTGAAAGAAAATAGATCGAATATAATACCAATATGGATCTGGCATATAAGGATTTTACATTAATTCTTAAATTAAATTATTTTTAATTTAATTTAATAATAAACAGTAAATGTATTTAACTTGAACTAATATTTTAATTTTTGAATGTAAAAATTTTGTAAAATTAAAAGATAGCATTATTGCATTTAATATAAGTGCTTTTTAAAGTTAGATTTATATCTTTAATTATAAAAGTTAATTTCTAAGGTAAATACAAAAAAAAAATTGCCAAATTAAAGATAAAATTTATCAGATTTAACACATAAATAAGAAATTGAATAATAAATATTAAAAGTAATGTTATAAATTTATTATCGTGTAAGTTCTAATGAGTAACATTTATTAAATTATAAATAAAATTAAATACAATTAAACCATTTTATAGATATGCTTTTATAGATCTGCCATAATGAAAATATTTTCTTGTTTTGTTTATGTTAAAAGCAATTGTGTACTTAATAAGTAAATTCATTATAATTATATTTATATAACGGCATAGAAAGAAAATAAATAGAAACAAAAGAATAACTGTCAATGGCGCTGAAATAAAACTAAATACACTTAATAAAAAATGTATAAATAATTTTTATATTTACATAAAATTCTAAGATATTTTCTTCTAAATAATTTTGATTATGTTTTTTCTGCTTATTTTAGTGTTCAAAATTTCATGTAAAGAACATTAATATTTTATTAATACCGAAAAAACATTTGGAAGTTTAATAAGTTGCATTTTGAACTTATTGTGATGATGTGTTAATTCAAATCAACGTACAATATATTATAAATAATACTTAAAATAAAGATATAAGAATATTTTTTAAAATAATAATATAATGCTACAATATTATTTCATATAATATATACTTTAAAGTCTCTTAATTTCTTAATTTCTTAATTTCCAAGGTCTAGTAAATTAAAAAAAAAAAAAAAAAAAAAAAAAAAAAAAAAGTAATATTGCAATGAAAAATTTATGGAGAAAAATAATAGTCTACCTTTTTTTTTTTTTTTTTTTTTTAGTATTTTCTAAATAAACGGAATAAAATTTATATAGTTTTCAATTAAAATGTCACACTTTATTTATGTGAGGAAATTTTATTTTTCGGTACCCTACGAAATTTACCTCATACGCGAATGATGACACTTCTATATCAACTCTTGGGCATCTACGTTCGATTCAACAATGATGATTGCCGTAAGTTATCATAGATAGTAGTGACGGTAAATAATGATTTAGAAAAGAAATTAACTACTGCTTTCTTAGTCACAAGTATTGTATAATAGTAAAACACAATGCAATTCATAATCGAAGTTGCCATTGAAATTGAATGAAGATATGCTAACTTGAACTTGATTATTTACATAACAAAGTCCAGTATTTATTAAATAATATTAGTAATACATTATTAAAAATAATACGCGTAGTCAATAACAAAATAGGCACATACAATAGATTTACTTTAAAATATAATTTTTGCATTTTTTTAAATTTTTTTATAGTAAAAGCTTAAGTCATTATTTATAAAATTGTATAATTACTAGAAATAGAGAGCGAGAGACAATATTACAAGTTTTTATTTATGCACTAAAATTTTCTTAAACTATATACAAATTTTACAAATTTCAATTATTAATTTTAAAACTTTGGATCTTCGATAGTTGAAAATATTTCGGCAAAGATTAACATTTGATTTAAAATTTCTAACAATGACTATATCGTTGTGTAATGTTTTATTATTAATTTTGTTTTAATTTAATTACTACTAATAAATTATTTGAAACTCAAATGCTAAATCTGTTTTTAGATTCTGTTGGCTTTTTACATAAGTTTAAAATTAACGGAAAAAAAAACAAAAAAAAAAAAACAAAGACATTTCATAGGATCATAACATATAGTCTTTGTTGTCAATGTTATTAAAATTTATGTTATGTTTTTACATAAAGAATTTCACTCTTAAGTAGAAAGTTTAATTTATTTTTTATTAGGAATAAAAGAATTTACTCATAATAATTTAATAATTTAATAAAAATAATAATTATTATTAATAATTAATGCGCAGTATGTATACTCGAAGCTTGTAATTTTGTAATTACGTTTTTCGTAAAAATTAAACATCAATGAATTTCATTCATTCATATAGTATACATTTCACTATATTCCCCGCTATTTTTAGAAATAAATAAATATTATACAGCACATTCAATATTTAAGGTAAGACGAAGTAAGCACTTTACGCTTTATCATATTTATCAGCCATATAGAATTAATCATTTGCTATTATTTATATATTAGCTATAGAAATCATTTAGTATACTATATTATAGTAGCTTCAAATTGTAAATAAAAACTGCTTTTCAATAGTTGATAAATTATTAAGTATAATTATTTTATTAAAGTTATTTAGCCATGGTAATAAAATAATCAATAAATATTACACGATAATATTTCATTTAGAAAGGGTGGGGGGGGGGGCTTATGTGGTATTAATTGCAAATTTATACAACATACATTGCTATAATATACATATCATTCAATACAATATGATAAATTATCACATAAATAATGTTGACGGGTATCAACATCGATATACGCTTATGATATCAAAATGACTCGAAATTGAAAATCCTTGCTTACGAATATTTCAAATAAGAGAAGATTCGCTGTGAAAAGGAATAATCTTGGAATCAATTATCGATTTGAAAAATATCTTCTTTTTTTTATTATTGTTTGTAGTTAAACTATAATTTTTACGATAATCATAGAACATTTAATATCCATTTACATAAAATTTCGGTATAATTATACAAATGAAATAAATATTCTTATCTTATATATTTTATAACAAGTTAAGCAAATTAAATTAACATCAGAATATGTAAATGTATAAATTAGAGTTTGAACACGTGTACGTAAATAGGTGCTCATAATTTTATTTACACTTAAGTTGTAAGATTTGCAAAATTATATTACTTTCATTTAATAATTATTTTATTATTTCCACGCAATTATAATGAAAATAAAAATCAAATTTAACTCAGAATATTTTTACTATCCGTGTATTGAATTTCAATATAGGGGAACGTAGCCGTGTACGCATGTAGACATTTATTTTTTCTGATCGCATATTTATATGCATGTTTGTATACATGTAGGCAAATGTATATGCGTGTGCGTGCAAGTATGTACGCAAGTTTTTTCCTGTCTACGAGTAATGAAATACACGGATAGAATTATACTTTCATAAAATTCGAACAATTAAAAAATAAATATTGAACTTCCCATGGAATTTTTTCTTAACCGTTATGTATACAAGTTTTAATTGCTTATATCAATGATTTATGAAACAACTTTATATATTATCAAATTTTTTAGAAGTTTAGCTGATAATTTAACAGTAAATGTCATACTGATTTTTAAAGATAAAATTTACAAGTATTATCAAGCGGTAAAATTTGATAGTTAATATAAATGAAAATTTTTATTTTTGGAAAATATCCATTCTTCAATTATTCATTAATGAAATTATTTATTAATTATTTAAAGTTCTCGTAATAAATATATTTATAAATTTATAAATTAATTAAAAAATTTCATTAACTGAAGGTACATTTAATTTCATTAAAGCTAGTCATTTATATTTACAAATATTTTAAATCAATGTATAAGTAATTGAAGTTTCAAAAAAAAAAAAAAAAAAAAAAAAAAAAAAAAAAAAAATGTCGATATCAATATTGTTTTTTGATGCGCATTTTTTCCTTTTTCATAAGTAAAGTGAAAATAGGGTGAAATAGTA